GATTTCTACGCTACTGCCGGAATTTTTAACAGGCTCTTGTCTAAATCAATCTAAATTAATTCTAATGAGGGGTTTTCACTAAATTAATGCTGATAAAAGCTTTAATGAGTGCTAACCTGAGAACTGAAAATTTGCCGGATGTCACAACGGTCTTTTTCACAATAATTTAACTAATTTAAAATTTTGTTATATTGGGTAAACTTGTTCCATTATTTTGTTAAGTGGGTCCATTGTCAACTCAATTCTCACATGTTAACTTTTGAAATGTAGTCCCAAACATGAGAGATTCTATATGACTTTTTCTTAGATGTTGTATGATTTTGTGTTTTCTTTCTTTTTTGTGTGACTTTTGTGAAGCATGTAATGCATGAATAGATTTCAGTATGTAATGGGTTCACATGCCACCACTGTAATAAAAATGAGTTTATAAAATGTTAAAAATGTCTAAATGTTTTAATAGATTGTTTTATATGATATATAACGTTTTATGACATCTTAGCAGGTTGTTTAGGTTGTTTTTAAAATAAAGCTTTGTATTAATTTTTTTATGTTGACACTTAAAAAAAAAAAAATCTTTTTATATAACACTTGTTATAAGAGAAATTTTCAAATAATTACTTGTAAAACGAATTAATAGGATGTCATGTCAAAAGTGACTCAAAAACTTATTAAAACAACCTATATATATATATATATATATATACTTGTAGCAATCCTTTTACACATAGCGTACAATTTTTTGGTCATATATACTCAAGTCTTATAAAACAGTCTATTAATACTTATACATCTTTAATGTCTTATAAATCTGATTTTGTTGTAGTGAAAAAAATAATTAAGATGAAGTAGGTAACTTCAAAATCAATAGGTGCCGTGTGTGGGGTAGTCTTTTTGTCCATCACTCCTGACAAAACAACGTGGTTAGTTCACATTCAAATTCGGATATTTATGAAGGTATGCAATCAGCTATATGCAAAGTACTAACCAATAAAAGGAATTTGATATCATTACCAAATCGCAACTTACCGAAAATGTCATAATCCATTCGTAAATCACAAGCATAACAAGACCACTAACCCAAGAAAGTGATGGAAACTGAAATTTCTCTTTTTAAGATCCGTTTGGCCTGATGTAATGTTTTTGTCCAAGGACTTGGAATAAAATTGGATTGGATTTTATTTTATTTTATTTATAAATAATTAATGAAAACAAATTACATGAATAATTAAATTATATTTTTTTTAATTGATTATCACAAAACAAAACGAATGTTTTTAACATATTCTACTATTCTAAAACATTATTACAAACAAATTCAATGAAATCCCACAAAATATCAACTATCTCATGGTATTTCCAAATCCGATGTTTGTATGATTTCATCCTCATGGGATTTTAACTATGGATTTTCCTTCAAACTAAACATCAAAATTGAAATGGAATCTTGACGGCTAAGGATTTTTAATGAAAGATAGCTTGTGTCAGGTTGGTCCAATTGGATGTTAATGGAAATAGCTTGTGACAGGTTGCTCCAATTGGATATTGGTGTGGCCGATAATTTAACACTTTTATATTTTATAAATAAATGAAATCTTGGATTAGCTTGACCTACTTTTATTGATTTGTATATTTTGCCTTTTTTGTTTTTAATATAAAATAGAAATCACAATTTTGTCATGTTTAAAAATACATATTAAAAAACAAAGTTGGTGCTACCGACAGACGCCCTTAGATGCTACAATTGACATGAACTTATTCATATGTTCTCACATCTACGGTTTTCAAACTACAGAAAATATAGAGATAACAAAACAGACAAGGTAATGGAGTGAGTCGTCCTAATCTGCTTCAAATTCAATGGTACAAGAGAATATGTACAAATATGTAATAAAAGTTAAAAGTGTCTTTCTTTACAACCATATGATCATCATCCACAAGTTGTAGAAATCAGCTGAGCATGGTAGGATGCCCAGTCTGGAGCATCCTCTTAAACATGTCCATCCCGAACGCTGAATCTGATGAACTAGATATAGCCTCAACATTAGCAATTTAACCGTAACCAATGAATTTCCAATCGCAGATGTTGCATTATGTTTCTATTCATTCACATATGCATAAACTCGATATTCATATTCACAAGTGATGAACAGTCCTACATAGGTGGAGATTGCAAGCATAATTTAGGTTATTCACACAGTACCAAAACAGTAAATTAATAATAATAAGCCTCAGTGGGGAACAGTGCTGTGGAATCCTAACTAGTTCGTAAGAGCAACCCCCACAGCCAGCAAAAGCAGTTACTATTAGCTTCTTGTTTGGTTGGTTTTCCATTAAGTCCTATATGGGATAAAACTGTTTGTGTTAATTAATCTGTTTGTACAGATTGGGAGAGTTTTTTAATAGACAGAAGGAGCGTGTTTTTTAATTAGCAGGGGCAGGTTTGGAAAAATGTTGGCTTTCTGCATAAAGCTCCCTCCTAAAAGCTTATCGAATAAGCGACTTTCTATATCATTAAGCTACTACCAAACAGTCATGTATAGCTGATCGAATAAGTTGTGCACTCCATTAAGCTCATTAAACTGCTAACATTAAGTACTATATTGGAAAAGCTTTCTTTGTGGATTAACCTGTCTATATAGATTGCCAAGGTTTTTGTTTGGGAGGGTTTTTTCATAGATGGAAGGAACATGTTTTTTATTTGGGAGGGGACAAGTTTGGAAAATCACTTGACTTTCTATATAAAGCTCCACTTAGAAGCTTACTGAATAAGCCACTTTCTATATCATCAAGCCACTACCAAGCCACTTTCTATATCATCAAGCCACTACCAAGGAGTCATGTATAGCTGACCAAATAAGTTGCGGGTCCCATTAAGCTGCTAACAAACATGCCCTAAAAGGATTGATGACTAATTTGCATTGAAAGAGCGATGTAATTAAACATGGAAGGAATAAGACTAGAAAAAACTTCACTAGAGCCAACTAATATTCTGCTAAATTTAAGTCTCACCTTGAGATAATAATTTCATAGGGAAATGAGACTCCCTCCATACTTGGTATTGGGGGAATGTGATCTTTCTTCTCATTTACAAATTTTATTATCTGAAATAAAACTTCATGCAGAGAGGATTCGAGTGTTGCCCGCCGAGCATTTCTCTCCTCGGATGCACTTTCTGTAAAATGGTAAAAAAAAATTCAGGACAACTATGAATTTTCCAGTTGATTGGTATTCAGTACTTAAAAAACAACGTAATGTTAAGAAAGAGCCAATAACAAATTTAATTATACCTCCAGGGTCTACAACTAGTTTAGAATGATGCGACTTGCCAGAATGTGCTTTGGGGTGTTGAGCAACATTTAAATTTATATACCAGTGCTCCCAATATAAGTGTTCAACTTTGTTTGTAAACCATGTTTGTTGTTTGTTCTTTACTTCGAAGAAAGATAAACATATCTGCATCATTAACAAGTTACTATCAACGGAGGCATGGCTGCATGGCCCACTTACAGGGTACATAGGGAAAGTGATTGATCATAAGAAAAATCAAGTTTAATGCTGAAACCTGAGTAAAGAATGGAAGCAAAATCATGTGTCATGATAGATGCAAGATGTAAATCATATTTGGATGTTACTTGCAAGGACAACAAACATTCAATAAAAGGTAACAGCACCACACTCAAATTTGAGTGCTTCAAGCAGATAATAATAGCACACATATGCCAGAATCAAGCTGAGAACACATCAGTTGTTGCCTAAACAGGCATCACTTAAATGTTATGGAACAAGAAAAAGAGAAAAAAATCAATTTTCTAATCATAAGTAGTTGAGCACCATACCTATCAACATGGCTTGGATCAAACCAGAGGTGGACCCAGAATTTTTTTAAGTGGTGATACAATTTGACTATAAAAAAATTATTCTAAAGAAAAAATTCAGAAAAATTAGTATTGATCTGTTGGTTGATTCCTTGTCCCTGTATAGAAGAGACTCATGTTCTGTTGAGAGAATAGGTCAGCAGTAACCCATTCAAACTCAGCTGGAATGTGCCTGATATTTAGGAGAATAGCTTTGAATAAACCAACTGCATCGTG